TCTTAAAGTTATGCAACAATAAACTGAAACACCCTGTATACTAAACCGTAAATAGTATTCTTTGAAAATTATTTGTCTGTGAGCAGTACTTTATCCTCGCACGTTTGAGACACGCTGTAGAAAGCTACGATCTCAGGTTAGTGAGCGCCTGGCGAGGGTCTGCAGACCTGTATCTGATGGGCTGCGGCGGCCGCGACTCTGGAATGAGCCCGCTTCATCCCGAATCCCGACTCATTCCCGGTCTGATTAGGCAATCTTTCCCAGTCAGCCGAGCCGACGGTCGGGAATCAGCCGCGACCGCATGCGAGGCTCGGCTTCCGGAGTGCATTTGCTTTTAAAGGATTGCAAATTACCAAGCTACAAAGTTGAAGGAGTTACGCTCCGTATTCATTGCTCTACGTTGTGGCCTGATATAAATGCATGCATTTTTAGAGCTGGCTCCCAAGAAAGCAAAACGACGATCGGCCTTTCATTTTTATTTCCGTGCTGCCCGAATGCCCGATAGACAAAGTCTGCGTACCAGCGTATCGGATTAGCTATTCGAGCAGTAAAAGAAGGTTTTATCTCAAGATGCTACTCAAGGTATAGTATCATGATTTTACCTTACAGAAGAGATAGTTGTTCTCGTTTCCGATACTGGTCAATAAAATGTTCTACCAAACCTCCCTTACCTGGCTCTCTCATAGCATCCTCGCAATATCCCCAATTTATATGCAAATTCTTCAAATGACGAAGGTCATAAATACGCATATGCCTGTCTAGACCATTTCGTGTCGTTGAGGCCCGATTTCGCTATTGACTGGCGGTAATCAAAATACCTACCTTTGACACAATTAACCCTCCAGTGAACGCGCGGATTACATACGTAATCCACTGAACATTTTAGTGCTGCCTTCTGTGCGCTATTGCATATAGGGCTGCCTAACTTCTAGTACCTCTACCGCATAGTCCAATTAATATTTCTAGTATACAACTGGGGCTCGTCGCGTTCGGATGTGTGACGTAGATCTGTTTATGTTACTATTGTAATCCACGCGTGCACTTACGTGACAAAAATTAAAAATTAATGTTTTTTGAGCTACAACGATTAAGGTAAGTTTTTGTGCCTGGAGATGGTAAAAAATGTGTTTGTAACTTAAATCCTGTTTCTAGAGATTGCCCAACCAAAAAAAATCAAATTAGGGGATCCAGATTTTGAAAAAACCGTAATGGCATGGTTCAACGAATTAGAGGAGGAAACGGGGCCTACTGTTCATTTTAGCGACGACAGTTGGCCAGATGACGAGGAAAATAATGAAGAAGAATGTATTATATCGGAACATGAATCAGATCAAGACAGTGACGATGAAGTTGAAGAAGAAGAAGAAGAAGAAGAACAAAGTGAAGTGAAAAAATACTATGTTGGCAGAGAGAAAATTACAAAGTGGAGTAAGATAAGTCAAGCCCCCAATACAAGAACACGTTCACACAACGTTGTTTTGCGGCTACCTGGACCAATAGGGGCCGCCAAAAATGCTAAAACGGTGCATGAGTGTCTCGATTGTATGATTGACAGTGACATAGTCAAAGAAATAACGCGTTGTACTAACATTTATATTGAAAAGGTAAGAGCTAATTTCCAACGATACAGAGATGCAAGAAATACTGATACTGAAGAGATTTGGGGACTTATTGGTATATTATATCTGGCAGGTGTTCTTAAATCTGGAAGACAAAATATTTTTCAAATGTGGGACAACACCAAAGGCACTGGCGTTGAAGCCATTTACTTGTCCATGTCTGTGAATCGTTTCCGTTTTCTAATGAGATGCCTGCGATTCGACGACATCAATACCAGACAACAAAGAAGAGAGTTAGACAAACTTGCTCCTGTCAGAAATATTTTTGAAATTTTAAAAAAATTTCAGAAAAGCTTTACGCCTTCTCAATATTTAACAGTAGATGAGCAGTTAGTAGCTTTTAGGGGAAAATGTCCTTTCCGTCAGTATATCCCCAATAAACCATCGAAATATGGTATAAAAATATTTTCATTGGTAGATACAAAAAATGCGTACACCTATAATATGGAGATATACTGCGGAAAGCAGCCAGCTGGACCATTTGAAGTTGATTGGAGTAGCGCAGAGGTCGTCAAAAGAATGGTTAGACCCCTTGAAGGAACCGGCAGAAACAATGCCATGGACAACTGGTTTACAAGTGTACCATTGGCCATTGATTTGCTTCAAAAACGCTTAACTATTATTGGGACAATCCGTAAAAATAAAAAAGAACTGCCTCCGGAATTTATTACTGCCAAAAATAGAGAGCTACATTCTTCACGTTTTGGTTTCCTCCAAGAAAAATGTACCTTGGTATCATACGTCACCAAAAAAAAATAAAGTGGTATTAGCTTTATCAACCATGCACCATGATAAATCTATTGATCTTGAGACGGAAGACAAACAAAAACCCGAAATAATAACGGATTACAACAAAACAAAATTTGGTGTAGACCTAGTGGACCAATCGTGCACACAGTACGATGTTTCTCGAAACTCCCGGCGTTGGCCACTCACCGTCTTCTTCGATCTATTGAATATATCAGGAATCAATGCATTTTGTCTATATAAAGCTAATAATAGTTCTGACGCACCTTCTAGAACAACATTTATTGAGGAGATGGCATTCCTGTTGATAAAACCGCTGATGTTAAGACGGTTGGAAAATCCCCATACAACCTCAGCAATAAAGCAGAAAATAAGACTTCTTTTGAAAATGGTGAAACTCCTAGGATAGTCCCAACTCGAACTTCGGCACTCGGGCGTTGCCATATTTGTGGACGTGCAAGAAATAAGTGCATAAGGAAATGGTGTAGCGTCCGCGATCAGTGGACGTGTCCAGGACATTTGAAAGAAGTATGTGTAAAATGTGCTGAAACAGAACAAAATGTGCAACCTGGTGCAGAAGCAGATTTATCGGGCGTTCAAAAGCAACTTTTTTTAAGTTTAATTTTTGTTGTATTACTTATCAGTGTATGTATTTATTGACGCGTTCTTTAGAAAACCCATTTTGATTTTAGTTGTGAAAACAGAAATAAATGGAATGATTTACTCCTTACAATGTTTTTACTTAACTAGCAGCATGATTTTCTTCATAAAATTATTTTGAAGGCTCCTAAGTTTATGGATTACTATAGTAATCCGCGCGTTCACTCAAGTAAGAAAACAAGACGCGTGTACTGGAGGGTTAAAGGGTACCGGGGAAAAACGGCATTAGTGCATTATTTGGCTAAATTGAACTTTCAGTTTATTTTCCTGATGCTATCTTATAATCAGCTTCTTAAATTGTAGAAAGGGTTTAGGTTCACAAAACAACAGCTATGATTCCCTGTGCCGGGGAAGAATGGCATGAGTTCCTGTGCGTGTATGGAAAAACGGCATCAGTCCTTAATGTGGCGTTCCATCGGCCGTACCTCTTGGGTGCTTCGTTATTGCATCAGCCATTGGTTCACTATTAGAGTCCACCTGTGTGGTATACACTGAAATTTTGAATATTGACTATATTCGCTAATTTAGTTTATAAAATGGGTTTGGTGTATAATAGATAGTGACTATTCAGTTGCAAGTAAATATGAACCAGGCCCATCAAACAGAGAAACGAAAAAAGCAAAAAACAGGAAGGCAAAGAGGCGTAATGAAAACATTGCGCGCCACTACCCACGAACTTGGATCTAATTGTTTTTGTGAACGTTTTCGCTGTTTTACTACTGTTCCTGAACCTGAACGCTGCAGACTTCTTCGTGAATTTAATGAACTAGGAAACACTAATGCACAAAACGCTTATCTTAGTGGTCTTGTCACTGTTCTTGCTGTCATGCGTAGACGCCCTCTAAAAAATGAAGCAGAGTCAAGCCTTAATAATGCTTCATTTAGTTATCGTGTCCGATTGGTTGAAAATGGAATTATACGTGATGTTCCCGTTTGTCTTTGTCTTTTTTGTCTTTACACGGGATTACACTTCCTCGAGTTCGGTACATAAGAGAGTCATTGGTTGTAACGGGGAAATCGCCCATCGACATGCGTGGAAAACACAGCACACGACTTCACAAACTTTCAGAAAACACAAAACAGAAAGCGACCGAGTTCATTAAGAACCTCAAATGCAGCAAATCTCATTACTCTTTGGCATATTCGCAAAAAGTTTACCTACCTGAAAATCTAAATATCGCAAAATTACACAAAATGTATTCTATTGGCAATGTTGAAAACAAGATTTCTTATGAATCCTTCTGAGAAATCTTTGAAAACAACCTCAATATATCGTTCGGTTATCCACGAAAAGATACTTGTAGTACGAGTGATTCCTTAAAAGCTGATGTACCTTCACTTACCGCTACCTTAAGTTCCCACACGGAACAAACTAGGCAGTCAACAAGTAATAATTTGGAGAAAAAGATACTTGAGAAGACACTACATCAAAAAAGGTGTGAGCGATTTTACAGTCTAAAAGGCCCGTTCACACATGCTCTCCGTTTTACTGGTCCGTTTTATCGGATACGTTTTTTTCGTCGGTGGCGTATATAGCTCTATGAGCGACTTCACACATGGTACAGTATACTGTATACAGTAAAAAATACTGTTCCGTTAAAATATGACATTCCGTTTTGTCATCGAATACTGGACGACGGAACAGTAAAACTATACGGATACGTAGAATTTTAACGGATAGGTGGGGCAGTGATACGACAGGTTCTGAGTCGCATTTTCTATTGTACATCAATAGAGAACGCGCGCGTGCATTGTGTGTAATAATTAAAAGTTAATAGACAAGGAAATTTTAATTACTTTGGTGGAAGATAGGCCAGTCCTTTGGGACAAGACGCTGGATAAATACAAAGACAATACTGCAAGTATTGCGGGTTGGCACGAAATATGCGTTATTCTAATGGAGTATTTTGAGGCTATGGAACAAAGACAAAGCCAAGAGTTCGGTAAGTGTCTGTTTTATTATTTAATTACATTCTAAATAGCTTCATCCTGCCATGGAACTGATCCAGCTTCGGACATGAAATAGTTCACGAATTCTGTTCGAACTAAATTGGCAGTATTACCGCCTCGTGTTCTTACTTCATGGGGTAGCCTTTCGTAACTAAATTCTTGAGATACGTTATTATCACTATTTGAGCCCTCTTTGTCCCTTATAAAGTTGTGTAGAATAGGACATGCCTTAACAGTCCATACAGCTGTTCTTTTATCGATGTCTAACCTTTGTCTCCAATGGCCACATAAGGAACTCTCGTTTCTGAGTCTCTTGTTAATGGGCATGGCGCTGGTATTTGAAGAGTTTGATGAGTCGCATTCTTTTCCGCGATAGTCGGAGTCTACGATCGCTAATAATATGATGGAAAAAAATCCTTGTAATTGATATACAGTGAACAGCTATTTAGTGGTTTTTTAAGTCGGATATGTTTTCCGTCGACAGCTCCGAGACAGTGGGGAAAATTACTTTTTTTGTTAAATCTACTTGCTATCTGTTCCCATTCGTCGACTGATGTAAGAAGTCGCATAAATTTTTCACTTAAATTGTTCCATATGCATCTTGAAACTTCTTTAATAACGTTGCTATCAGTCGATACACCAACGCGATAGGTGTAATGAAGATCTTTAAATGAACACCCGGATGCTGCATACCTGAAAATAAAATTGATTGGTTTATTACTTGTTTTAGGAAAACTTGTTTTGAAAAAGTGGAGACAGATGAGAGATGCCTAAGTGAGAACACTAAAAGATAAAAAGAATTGCAAGACGTCTGATTCCGCTGTCTCAAACACGAAGCCCTACAAATACCATAATTAGATGCTGTTTTTGAAAAAAGTAGTTGCTGCTGGTGAAACGCACGAAAGCGTCTCTGCTAAACAAACTGAAGAACACACCGAAGATGACACCACGACATCGAATGAACCTACAAACGAAGACGACAGTGTGACTACAATGACACAACTTGATAATGACAGTTAAAGGGACAAACAAAATCTGGCACCCCCGCCAAAACGCAGAGCACCAGCCAAAATAAATTTTAATGAAATGGATGCCAAAATGATGTCCTACATTGACTATCAGATAAAACCGAAGAAAATTGAGCAGGATGATCGCAACTTATCGTTCTTCAAAGGTATTTTGCCGTCCTTGGCTTTGCTTGATGATGACCAAACTTTGGAACTCCAGTCAGGGGTGATAAACCTATTAAAAAATATTAAACATAGGAGAGTTGGCCAGTCAACTTATGACTGGTCAGCCTATACACAAACATCTGGTGCTAGTCACTATCAATCTCAGGGCTATTTTAGCAGACCGCAGCCTACTGATAGTGCACTATCACCAGTACAATCTGTATACAGTGATGCTAGCAGATCACAGCCTACTGATAGTGCACTATCGCCAGTACAATCTGTATTCAGTGATGCTACGTTAGATCTGAGTTTTAAAAATAAAAGTACGTACCTTAAAAATATCGCTAGTTTTTCTTCTGGGCAGATACTTTTCCTCTAACGAGAATCTTGCTTTTTTAAATCCTTTTCCAATAGTTTAAGAAGTTCATCAAAAGTAGACATACGAAAGTAATTGAAAAATTTCGATTCATCACCTCGTAACTGACTCATAAGTAAACTGTAAGCACCCTCTCTAGATCTTTGGGACATAAGTGGATGCTGCCAATAACGTCGAATCTTCCTTCTCCGACGATAGTACCAATACAACACGACAGCGTCCATCCTTGTAGAATAGCGGCGGTATACTGCGAGTTTTCTGTTCACACATCGCGTCCAGTAATGACGGATCCGTTGAACGTTATACGGTGCCTGTGTGTGAACAGAGCATACATTTATAACGTATCCGTTAAAACCGTACCAGTAAAACGGACTCCCATGTGTGAACGGGACGTAAAGAGAACTTACCGCAAACGTGCCTCGAAGTTCCCGCTATCGAAAGTATCACGATGGGTTACCAAAAAACTTCCGCTGTCCAAATATCACGACAAATGATCTCTACTATAAGCGGCAACTAAATTTCATCAGTTTTAACATCCACATTATGTCAAACTCAAATTCTATCTTTTATACCTACGATGAATCTGTTGCTACGAAAGGAGCTGACGATGTCTGTTCTATGCTATATCACCTTTTTTATACCATCCTGCCTATGGAAGTAAAAGAACTTGCCGTTTTCTTTGACTCCTGTGCAGGGCAAAATAATGACAGTTATTCGGTTTTTGCATTACTTGGTTACCAAGAAAAATCATTTTACTACTGTGAAAGTAAAATTCCCGGTCAGGGGGCATACATACCTCGACTGTGATAGAGATACGAGTCTCGTGAACCAAAGAGCATACACTGAGGTACCGGATGACTGGAGAGATGAGTTGAAAAATTGCCGTGTGAAACCTACACCATTTAAAGTCATTGATTGTGGCAAAAATTTTGATTTTCAAGATTGGAGTACGTTTTTATTGCCGTTTTATCCAAGAAAGTGCCCCTTTCCAACCCTATCAGTCAGGATGCTCAGGTTTTGTAAACAGAATCCCCGCGTAGTTCTTCTCAAATCGACATACATGGGCCTATATGCTAGTTCTAAATTTGATAAGGTAATTTGGAAGAATCTAAAAAAGACGCAAAAATATCAACAAAAACGAGAAGATGAAACATTGAGAAAACTTTACTAGCGCCCAATCCCAATTAAAAGTAAGAAATGGAAGGATCTGCAGAATCTGACCAAATGTTTAGAGAGAGCAGATTCCAGGGCATTTTATCCACAGTTAATATCTCTTGGTCATCCAGAAGACAGCCGTGATGAATATGTCGATGACCCGCCAATAGATGCTTAAAGCAAGGGAAAAGTGGTAGGAGTCCAGAGTTGAACATCATCTTTTGTTTGTTTTGAATAAAAGTTCATTTTGTAAAACCTATTTTACCAATAAACAGACTGCTTAGCAAAGATATTCCTTACGACTTATTTTTCCATCAATTTTACTTTCCAACAAGTAAGTAAACCTTAATTACCGATTTTCTCAAAATCAGTCCGGATGGACTATTGTCGCTATTCCCCGGTATCCTTCAAATTGGGTCAATAATAAGGCGTCTTTGGAGCATGGATTAGAGGTGCTGGAAAAGTAACCATTTGTTACTCGAGTACTTGTTACAGAAGTAACGTGTATCAATCCTTTGATTACTCTGTATTACGTATCAGTACCCAGTTCGCGTACAATCGTTGATCGTTGAGTGGCAAGGCTGGTTTCTGCCGCTCATGCGTCAGGGTTGCCAGCCATCGAAAACCTGTAAACTCCAGATCTAAAAACAATAAAAAAATGTATTTACCTATTTACACCGTGTCTCAAATTCACTCTTATCTTTGTGATCTTGATAACCTGAAAAGGAGTAGGGACTCGATGGATTGCAGCAAAGCTCGGCAGTATTATGGGCCAGAAAAGTGACATCAGGGGAACAGCACCGTTCAGGAAAACCAAAATAGCATAATGAAGATTATGTCAATTTGATTCGTGTTTACTTAATAATTCAGTATGACGACCAATAGTATGTGTAGACTAAGCTCCACGTAGAATTCGCATATCAGGATAAACCAATTTAAAAGGAGAAGATTGATATAACATACTATTAGGTTTTGGTAATTAGCCTCTGAGATGTAAGGTGTTTTGTCCAGAAAAACCGTCCACTTCGGCAACCCCTCAGTCCGCCATTTTGAAATTTAAAGTGCTGAATTTTCTATCGAAAAAAACTTGCAGACCTCAGCTTTTATCTTGTTTGTTACTTTTTCGTATTCTCATATTTACTCACGCATCGCGGACAAAAACGCGAATTGTACTTTTTCACAAAAATTTCAGATGCATTACCCTGTATATTTGTGCAATTTTGGATTCAGTTTTTCTGGTATAAAATTTGATTCAGATAAAATCACTAGATTTTGAGTTATTAAGCTTTCAATAGAACAACACACCAAAATTAAGGAAAAAAATCACATCATCCATGGAAACAAAAGACAAACAGTGGGCTAGTTCCATATTTCCACTAAGAGTACAGATTTGGCGTAAAAACTAATAACAATCAGGGCAGTATAAATTAGCTCCAAGCGTAATAAAAAAAAAAACGACTATAACAACAACATAAACAAACAACTATCACTACTCAAGACCTAATCTACAAAAACTGCTCTAAAATATCTCCACCGTGATGAATATACAGCCGTAGTCTTTGGACAAATGACCGTTGCACATCCCTCAGCATGTGTTCCCTTATGTTCAGAAAAGCATCTTTAATCCTTTCCTTCATATCATCCGGGGTAGATGGTGGATATCTATAATCCTCTTGCTTAACGTAGCCCCATATAAAGAAGTCCATCGGTGTCATATCTGGTGATCTAGGAGGCCAAGATATAGGCCCATCACGACCGATCCAATGATTGTTACTCTAGGTATCCAAATCGTTACGCAAACGATTATGATAATGCGCAGCTGTGCCGTCATGTTGTTCCGAGTTTGTAGGTTGACATCGTCTAAAAGTAAAGGCAAATGCTTTATCAAAGTATTCTGTTCCTGTCAAAAAAGCAAGCCCCGGTAACTTATCTGCCAATTACTCCTCCCCAAACATTCAGCTCCATTTACTCTGGAAATCTATTTGCCTAACCCAGTAAGGGTTTTCTGTTGCATAATAGTGCATGTTATGCCTGTTGACAACACCTATGCTGTTGAAAGTTTCTGAATCGCTAAAAAGAACCTTATCCAGGCAAGTAATGTCTTAACTCACTTTACTTAGCATTACTCTACTAAACTCCATTCGAGCTGCGAAATCCTGAGGACAAAGGATTTGATGCAAGCATAGGCGATATGCTTGTGATTAATCCTTTGGACAGAAGTTCCGCATATATCAGTTTCTGCTCCAATTTGCCGCGCACTTAAATAGGATTTTCCTGCAACTTTAATAGAACTTCCAACTGATTCGCCTCACTGGCGAGACTTCGATTATTTATACATTTTTTACTATATTCCGCTGCTCCACTTGATTCAAAACGTTCTCGTTGTGTGGAAAATCTTTCCGGCCTTGAATGTCGCAAATTAGGGTACCGTTGCTTATAAATGCGAGATGCTAGGAAACTATTTCTTTGGGCTCCGCCCAAATCGGACTCCGTATTCACCATTTCTTCTTTAGAAAAATTCATTTTCAAACACGTTTTTATTATAATGCTCACAACGCTAATTTTGACAGTTTGTAACTAATGAACAATTTATTTTATTTTATTTGGCTATTGTAACTGATTAACTAGAACAACTTGAGAAAAGAACGTCAGAGAATACATCATACTCACAAATTTTAAAGCAAAATACTCCTAAAATCAATAGCAACAACAAGAACAACAATGACATGAAATCCATATTAGTTACTCCCGAAAGGACCCAACATTATAATGACACCAGAAAAGACCTAACTAGTAATATTAATCTAGCAAGTATTGAAGTCAAGATAGAGAAAGTAAATAATTATAAAAACGGCGGCGTCGAAATTCAAGTTGAGCAATGTTATTACCAGAAACTCAAAAATGAACTAGAAACTAAGTTGAAGGGAAAATACAATATATCAGGAGCAAGAGAAATGAGATCGAAAATTAAGATCATAGGCTACAAAACTGAAAAAAAAACCTTCAGAAGCAGAAATTAAAGAAGAAATCATATCCCAGAATACATTCATTAATGAAAACGAAATCGAAATCACTTTTGTACGACACATACCATTCCGAAATTCTTATACTATATTCGCTGAAGTTTCTGGAGAGCTATATAGAGACATATTTATCAACAAGAAATCAAGAATACTACTAGGTTGGCAAAACTTATTTGTCAATAAAAATGTAGGGGCGCGGAAATGTGCATTAAATGTGGACAAGCACATAGAAGTGAAATTTGTACTGTAAACATTTTAAAATGTTCTAACTGTGTGAACTATAACGTTAAGCATAATAAGAATAATGATGTTGGTCACTCGTCCACAGACAAAAAATGCCCGTCGTATTTATATTTTCAAAAACAGTATTCATCCAGAATAATGTTTTGAGCGTTTAGTTCTTTTTACGTTTTTCGAACTACATATCATTTGCAAAATTTTACATGGATAGTTACGTAAATAATTTTCAGGTTAATGATATCAATACAAATATTGCTCAAGACGCAAATGCTCTTAATAAATGGTTAGAATATTCTAATTTCAATGTTAGCTTATATCACATGAATATACGAAGCCTAAACCAAAATTTTGACTCTTTTAATATTTTCCTAACTACAATTTGACACAAATTTGACATAATAATATTAACAGAAACTTGGAAAATTAATGATGTATCTTTGTTCTGTTTGGAAGGTTATGATACGCTTTACAATAGTGGTACGTACAATCAGAATGATGGGGTGGTAGTATATTTAAGAAATGATATCAACTACAGATGTGATTTTGTTAAATTTGATGACGGTATCACAGTGTTGGATTTGATATTGAGAATTAATAACAAAAGTGTAAAAGTCACATCTGTCTATCGACCACCATCATCAAACCCT